TTTTTTTTTGCCCAGCTGGCCCATGTCGCTGCATTGACAGGAAGTGATCACAAAGGTAAGGGGTTCCTCCCCGCTTTCTTTTTGTTTTGTTAGAAATGCAGAAAAGATTTGGTTAGCTTATCTACATAATAGTTGAGCCGTGTCATAGGAGGCGGTTTTGACCGTGCCATGCAGTGCAGAGGTCAACATGCGGCAACCTGAGATCTTTATTAAATCTTGAATGCATCCGTGTTTGTCGTCAGAAAAGACAGAATATCTATTTTTTCCACATCTTTATGGTAATCTGTTTTAGAGAAGTCTTTAAACGCTACTTTCAGGATTACAGCAAAATCCATGGGTTTAAAATCTGGGCTTAAAGAGAGGAAGAATGATCAAATCTATTTCAACACTGCAATACTGACTCAATCACAAACGTCTGGACGTTTCAACTTGGAAAAACATTTGATTGCGCATACCTCACCAAGACCTGGTAGAAAAAAATCCCCCTTTGTAGTGACCCAGATTCACTTCTGCTTAAAGGCTGTTCTGTTTAAGTGACCTTGCTTCACACAATGAGGAACGGCCGATATTGCGTAATCGTTTGGATGGTGTGTGAACGTTTCCCCCCCCCAATTCTGTTTGTTTTTTAAGATCTCCTGGAGGATGAGGATGAAGTCGACGAACATCAGCCGTTCCCCTCACTATCACAGGTAAGGAATGTTGCAAAGATAATTTTTGACCTAAAGGCAACCCACATCTGAAAGTAGCCGCCTTTCTCTGTGCGCTTTCTCCCAAGATTTTCCAAGCCGTCCCAGAAAGTGTTGGCTTCAACATCGAACTGAAATGGATCAGCCAAATGAAAGTACGTGTTTTGCACCAGACTTTGAAACATAGTGTAATCGTTAAACATAAGCTGACGTCTCTCGTTGCTTTTTTTTTTTTTTTTTTTCCACAGGACGGAACGTGGGACGGGAACCTGTCCTCGTATTTCAACATGAACACCTTCCTGGACATCATTCTCACCTGCGTTCTGCTGAAGGCTGGGAAAAGGCGGATCATCTTCTCATGTTTCGACCCAGATATCTGCACCATGTGAGTGCACAGCGTCGCCGCTCGCGTTCACAGTTGAAACATCGCGTCTCGTAACGATCGCTGTAGGATCCATTTAAAATGCTTAAACTGCCCGTGTGATCTGGTTCACAGGGTGCGACTCAAGCAGAACAAGTACCCCATCCTTTTCCTGACTCAGGGCATTTCAGAAAAGTACCCCGAGCTGATGGACATGCGCTGTCAAACAACGCAGATCGCCATCAGCTTCGCTCAAAGCGAGAACATCCTGGTGAGTGATTTTTTTAATTTATTTATTTTTTTTAATTCTCTGGAGGTTGTACAGTCAATAATACACTTAAGGGGAAAATGCAATCTTCTTATTTCCTGGACTTTGATGTTTCGCCCTCGCAGGGAATCAGCGCTCACACCGAGGAGCTGCTGAAGCACCTCAACTACATCGGCGAGGCCCAGTCCAAAGGCCTGGTGGTGTTCAGCTGGGGAGACGACAACAACGAGCACGAAAACAGGAGGAAGCTGAGAGAGCAGGGCATCGACGGGCTCATTTACGACAGGTGAGGTTAAAGTTTAACATGAGTTTGCACGCTGCAGGCTGTAAACACAGATCGGATGTTGAAGCTAATCTTGTATAGCGTGCTGCTCCCAGTTGTTACAACTTATTTGAAACGCTATCCTTCAGTTATTTAGGGTTCTTGTTTCCATTTAGCTGCTGCGTCTAAAAGCTGGAGGTTATTTAAAATGTCCAGGTCAAACACTTTATGATGCCATGCACTCTTAAAAGGCATCTAGAGGATGAGTAAATGCTTTCTGTTGGGATGCATGAGCCGTTTCCCCCAAGTCTGTCACCTCTGATGACGGCAGATGGTTTTGTTTTTTTGTTAAAAGTCCCAGTAGTACTTAGCTAATTCCTCACAGTTGCCTTTCTGTGCTGGTACGAAATAAAAATGGTTTCTTGCACTGGTGTCAAACAACCACTTGGCACGTACATCGTGTCTACTGGTTGTTATGGAGACCGGGTTTACCCCAAGATGATGCTCTTCTGCAGTTTTCATTCATTTATTACCAATTAGAAGTTCTTAGAAAATTCTAAAAGATAAAAATAATTTTTAGTTACATTTATTGTTAGGATCTGACAGGTGATTATTTAATTTCCTATTTTAAAAATAACCAGTTTCAGCTATGTTTGTTAAACTCAGTCATTATCCTGTTGGTGTCCTTGTTCCTTGCCCGTTTACCGCAAGTTCTGGTGAAGGTTTGTTTAGTTACTGCTCCCGTCATAAAACAATCCCTTTAGCACACGGTGATGATTAGCGAAGATCGCAGTTTGTTTGTTGTTTTTATGAAGATAAGATTCAGATGTTGAGTCGCTGCTGTGTTGCCGTGAGATTACCGTCTCCACCTTGGAACGACGAGTTCAAGAAATGATTGCACACGGCTCCAACTCTGCCAGATTGCAAAGTTACTTTATGTAGCACAACAGCACATGAAAATTGATATGCACAGTTTGTCAGACCGGCCATGAACGCTTTTCCAGTAGGTACACCTCGATATAAGCTGTTATTTTAACATTTGTGCTTTATTTCCAACGGTAAACGCCTTATAAATGTATGCACTTTTCCAAAATCAAGTAATGAAACCTTTCCCACTTAGTTGGTAGTCACAGATTTTTCTTATCCTCGTATTCAAAAAGCCACTTTATAAGCTATGGGCTGCTGCCAGTGTTTCAAATTTCCCCTTTAAAAAAAAAAAAAAAATCCAGCCTCACTTGAGTAGCAAAATGTTCTGTGCCACGCTCATTTTATTTTATTTTTTAATGTAGGGTAAAGAAAATCCTGTTGCTAAGCAGCCAACATCCAAGTGGCTGCTCCATTCTTCCTGGTTTACATAAACAGGGTTGTTTATTATCATCTTTTTCAAGGATTACATACTTATGTAATCCATTGGCAGCGTTTTGGATCATTTGGCACCTGTTTGTCTCTTTGACTGAAAAGGCTCGATTGTTTATTGACCAGTCGTAGCGTGAAATGAACGAACACAATGTGCCAGGACTCTTATGTAAAGTATTTGAGTATTTATTCCTCTGCTTCCATGGGGGGAGAACTGCATCATCAGCAGAGCCGACTCGCCAGGCACTTTTACTGCTCTGTGTCTCCCGTGCTGCGTGACATTTGCTCTATATTTATGTCTGCACTTTGGCCCAGACGTCTGCAGAAAGCAGAGGGAATCGTAGGAACCGGAACGTTTTCATGTGTTACTGCAAAAAGAACAAACAAAAAAAACGTCTCTTGCGTCATTGTGATAACTGTGCCTCTTCTTTTACAGAATTTGCGAAAGCTTGCTGCCATATTTTGACTCAAGTTCTTCAGATTCCTGTAATGTCTCTCTGGTTCCTGTGTTTTTTTTGTTTTTGTTTTTAAATTTACTCACGTTGTCCCGCTCCGCTTGTCTTCGGTCGCCCGTCCTACATGCTACCCGAGTGAATCCTGCTCATCAAATGCTGCCGCAGACAGCAGCATTTCTTGACAATGATACATGAGGCGGTTGACTTATCATATTGGACGATGATATTTTTTTAGTTTTGAAGAGATCTGAAAAACCGTACCAAACACACTTGTGTTGTCTTCGATTGGTCAGCTGCCATGGTTATCATTTTGAAGCTTTTTTTTGTTTATTTTAATGATCACAAGGACCCTTCCTGTTACTGTCACATCTGCTTGAGAATGCTTTTGAGTTCCTCCGTTTTTATTCTCGCTGCCGTTTGTCATGATTTTTCAGTTTGAATTTGTATCTAAAAGTGGCACAGAGAGCGAATGGCTTTTTTTATCTGCATGAGACTGGAGATTCTGAATGACGGACTCCTGCTTGTAATCGGATTTACAGAAAGCAGACTTGCACAGGTGTTGCTGCAGCAAACCATGTGTCCTAACGTGCAACTGGTCAAACTACCTTAATCCAAAAGCATTTATTCCTCACGTGAAATACGCTCCGACACCTCCGGAAAGTCGATTTGTCTTCGCAGCATGTGGTTAACGTTAACGAAAATGTTTCAAAGCAGTTGGATGATCTGCCTGTACTTGTTTCAAAAGCGGTTTGGAATTAGGCATCAGCCGGTCACGAGTTTGAAGTTGAACCAATTCTGGACTCGGAAACAGCGGAGCGGAGCACCGCTGGTGTAGATGAATGCAGTGCCAACTACATGTTGAATCATTAAATCTTGTGCTTATTCATTAGTTTGGCTTAAATCTGCAACAAAACCAAATTGACAAATGTTGGAGTTGAAATGAATTAATTAGATCATTCGGACCGTTTCTTATTTTTCAAACATTTGTGTTAATTCCATGAAATTGTTGTACTTTTTGTGTAAGATTGTCATACGATGACAGCCTCATACCGGCCCGCGCCTACTTGGATCGAGGTGGTGATTTCACTGGAATCTCTGGACTGCCAGCCCTCGTTTGTTGAGCTTCTTCACTCTTTAAAGGAGCAATTATCATCTAATAATGTTTTTGTTTTGACAGCAATTAAAATAGGGGTGCCTTAACTTGCGGGGTTTTTTTTTTTTTTTTCCCCTCGCCAGTCAAATGTTGTTTGCCTCAGATGCATCTGCATGACTTTATCTGCTTAATTGCAGGCGGTAAAAAAGCTAATCAGCCAAATAAAACAGACATAAGATGGCACTTAGCCCTGAGTAAACCTGCTAATCCCAGAATGCCATTAAAAGTTGTCATTCCTGCAGGCAGAACAGCCACCAGTGCAATCACTCGCCTGTTTTCACATGCATGAGAAACGATGGGTGATTTACCATCAGCTTTTATAGAAAATGTAAGACGATAGTCAAACTGGCCAGCTTGCCCTTTTTGTTTTTCTTCAACTTTTCAAGATATATCTGCCTAGCAACAGTCTAGATTCATACGAGTTGCAAATTTCACCAATACTTAGATGAATTCATGTAAAGCAACAACATTGTGTTTTCCCAACAATCTAAAGCAAAACTAATTTATGTAGCACAACGTATTTGTGAGGATTTTCTTAGGCTCTGGATGTCAGGAATGATTGGGAATTGATCCTAACTCCACAATTGTTTCCTTCTTTCCTCCACTCCAGTATCTGCGATGCTCAAGGAGAGCAGCCAAACATCTTCCAGGTAGAAGAGCAGCACTCCCTGCAAGAGGTCATTACAGAGGAGACCCTAAAGAGCTCCGCCTGCTCCTGTTACTCCATTCCCTGCTCCGCCGTGCCGTGCGTCGCCCCCACGATCCACCACGGAAGCGTGGAGTCCGATTCAGGGCTGAGCTCCTCGTAGAAACCCGACCGCATCGACGTTTCACGACGTCGTTTTTGCACGTGTCCTTTGAGAATGACCAAAAATGCGATTGGTTGATAAAATTGACCTTAGCGTTTGCTCAAGAAAAAAAAAAAAAAAAAAAAAAAAAAAATTCCAAGTTGTTGCCCAGTTTTTTTTTTTTTTTTTTTCCCCCTCTGCC